GTTGAGATTTAATGTTGAAAAATTGATGCGACTTGTCGTTAAATCTCAACCACACAATACACCACTCTAGGAAACTTTAGAAAAAAAAAACTTTAGAGGATCCTTGCTCGCTTCAAATGCCATAAAGAATTATACAGTAAAAGCACAATTGTGTAACAATATAGCAAGAAACAAATTTCGGGATTTAAAACAATTTACATGATTTCCACTAAGAAAATATAGCTAACTTTTGAAAATATAATAAGTGCTGAGAGAGACAAAACTCAAACCATATCAGAAGGTAGTCATAGTAGGCAAGTGTTTATCAACTTAAGGTCTCATTTTAAGATTTGTCAAAAATCCACGTGAATATAAGTATAACCACCTAGGGTTCTATTTTAGGATTTTATTACATTATTTCTATATTTTAAGTTATGAAAACCAAAATAGACGAATCAGAAGGCAATAATTTAACAAAGAGCATTAGATTTCTTACCTTGGGTTTATATTTTCAAAATCCCTCTCGAATTTCTTCTAAATTTCTTCTAAATCTCTCTCCTCTTTGTGTCTCTATAATTCAGTGGGCAAAACAAATGAAAAACTAGAGCACTTAATTATCTATTTCTAGCAAGGGTAGACATGTGATGTAACAGGATGGATAAGGTGTCAAGCATTGATGCATTGCATGATACGAGGACTAAATGTAGAATGCATGAGATGTCTTGCTCATAAGGGGCCACATGCCAAGATTATATATACTAATTTCACACTCAAATTTATTCAATCACAAATTTACAAAATAAATCATGTTTCAGGACATGTTACACCTTATTTGGCAAATGCATGTTAAACACATATAGATATACTATGAAATTGAGCATAATTAAAACAACTTAAGCATGAGGATCTCACAAACATTTTTTCTGGATTATTACAAATACATCTTAATGACAACCAAATCATTGAATACTAATCTTCAATTTAGTAATATTCTAAGAAGTTCCAAGTTATTCAAATCATAGACATAACAAATTTAATTTGAGAGCCAATTTAAACAAAAATGCAGCCATATAAGCACACAAACTTGTTTACTGTCAAACTTACAATTTGATCAATTTAGATAAAATAAAAATTATGTGATTCTATATGAAAATTGTAAATGCTAAACTGGCATGGGAGGGTACATACTTCTTACCCAAAATGTTTAGAGAGCAACCACATTATCTAGTGCTGTCATCACTGCTGTCATCAGATCTTCACTACCATCAATTTTCATCCTCATAATCTTCTTTTTCTTTCACTATTTCTTGCTGTAATTAAAAAAAAAAAAGTTTGTTTACAAGCCACTTGTAGAAAAGGTATAGGAAACTAAAAAGAAGAACTTGTTATCTTGCTGAAACAAAAACAAAAAAAGAAAATTTGATTGCATACAAGCAACTTATAGAAAAAGGTTTAGGAAATAAAACTTACCATTCGTTGTTGTTCCTCCTCCTCCTCCTCCTCCTCCTCCTCATCTTCTTCGTCTTCTTGTTGCTGCTATGCAAATAGAGGAATGCTCATAGATAAGGTTTTGATTGATAAACAAGTATGTGAAAATGTAAGTACCAGAAGAAAGATGAACACATGAAAAAAAGAGATCGTCTACTATGAAAATAAGAACTACAACTTGAGAATGAGCAAACAATAAAATCATAAATATGAATAACTGAGGGGAAAAAGAAAGAACATCTTTTTCTCATCATTTGTTAAGTTGTCTATTCAACGAAGACAACTTCCTCAAAGTTTTGGCTCAAGGAATCAGGGCCAGCCCTGACTTATTAGGGGCCTAAGGCGATTTTTTTTTAAATTAGGCCCTTCATATATCATTGTTTAAAATAAAAAAAATATTTGGATAAAAATGATAAAAATTTATTTCTATTGCATTACAATTTAACAAAATTTAGATGACAAATATATATATATATAGTTGAACTTCAATTAGTTGAATTGAATCTTTATTTTTTAACTTACCAATACTATAAGAACTAAAACTAATTGGGGGTAAGGATGAGAATTTTTTACACAAATTAAGCAATATATAAAATTAGCAAGTTAAGGTTGACTATTTTTCAACATAAATCCAAGTTTGACACGACTCAATAATATGAATTATTAGTTATATATTTTAATATTTACTAAGAGAAGCCATGACCTTTTTTAATCTTTTATTTAACTCCATCTAACTGAATAAATAAAAGTATGTAAAATAATAATAAGTCTAATAGCTTTTTTTTCATTTAAGATATATATATTTTTTATTATCTATTTTAGAGTCAATCTAGTAAAAAAATATATTAATAAGGTACAAATATGTTTAATTAGAAAAATGCAATTGAATTAAAATCAAACATTTTATGAATAATTTCATTTAGTAGAAATAAATTTTATAAAATTCAACTTATGGAAAAAATTTTAATCTCTCCATACGCTTGTTAAGTTAATTTTAACTAAAAGTGAAAGGTTTCACATTAAATATCAATCGGACATGAATCAAAATAACACCATACGATAACATGATAATAAATGAATTGAGCTAGTATTGAAATAATTATAAAATAACACAATATGATACACTTCCCTAATTGAGGTCCTAAATTTTGTTCAAAATTGGGGGCCCGAGGCGACCGCCTTAGTTGCCTCACCCCAAGGCTGACCCTGCAAGGAATATGAACATCACAGCTTTACCATGAGAATTCAAATTGAAACTGTGATGACCCAGACGTCCATATTATTTTTACGTATTATTTTATTTAGTATAATTGCATGATTATGTGTTTAATTTGTGTTTATTTGTCTGCTTATGGAATATCAATTAGAGTACTAACCTAGAATTCGAAATTGGAAGCCCAAACGGATTCAGAAACCAGAATTGACTTGTTCAATAGGCTAATTGGAATATTTATAAGATCATATGGAAAATTTGATTAAAATTTGATTCGAATCAAAATAATTAGAACAAATCAATTAGACTTGATTAGGATTAATTAAGCTTAAGCTAGATTAATTAATCCCCCTATATATATATATATATATATGTATTAAGCATCATTTGAGTTCATTTTCTTCTTCATCAAAAACGTGGCTAAGGTTGTAGAGAGAGAGAGAGAGAGAGAGACCAACTTCTAGAGAGAGAGAGTAGAGGAATTGTAGAAAAATTGAAGGGGAATTGAAGAGATTAAGCTACCAACATCTAAATTTAAGCTCTAGGTAAGATCATTACACATAATTCTTGTAAATAATCCACGTAAAAGTTAAGTTCATAAAGTTTGTAGAATCATTTGCATGAAATTGAGAAGAGAATGCTAGAATCACTTGAATTCTTGTAGGATTGAATTGAAATTAGACATGCATGCATAATCCTTCATCTTTAAGTTTGATTTTCTACAAATTCATACATGCATGGAGCTTATACATATTAACTTGAAGGGTCTTCCGTGACTTTACACTCATTATCTTATATAATCTTGTTTTGAAAGGAAATAAGTTAAATCCATTACATGCATGGCAAAATTATTGAGCTTTGGGTTTTGTTTTTGAACAATTGAGAGAGATTTTGGGTCTATGTTTTGGTATTGGCCAAATATTTAAGGGTTACAAAGTGTTCTTACATATCCCTAAAAGCCATGCAAGCTTTGAACATGAAAGGCATGTTTTTGAACTCAAAGAGCAATCTGGAAAACTCAGAATTTGTGCACTTCGCTCGAGCGATGAATACGTCGCTTGAAGCACTTTGCATGCTCCCAGTATTTTTACAGACATTTGCAGTTGGCTCGAGCGACCAAGTGTGCGCTCGAGTGAACTCGACTTTGCATTGCACTTGGCTCGAGCGACCAAGTGATGGCTCAAGCCTACTTTGACACCATCCAATACTTTTGCAGTCATGCCACATCGCTCAAGCGACCGAAGGTACGCTCGAGCGAAGACCCTATTTTTAGCAAATTTTGGCAATCACTTCCATGAGCATATTTGCATCCTCATACCCTTTTAAGCATTCTTAAGCATTATTTAGACATCCTTAACCATGGAATAAGCTAGAAACACACGTAAAAGAATTGAATTAAGATACGATAAATGTGTATCTTTGTTATGTGCTTTGTGTAGGTGGTCATCCGAGGTCTAAAACCTGTGCTAGTCCACTGTGAGTAGTATCTTTGTAAAGATGTTTAAATTTATTTTTGAATTACTTCAAGAATGTTATTTTGATTGAATGAATGATTGTCTTATATGAAAAGTATTTGGGAGATCCTTTAGTGAAACCCTCGCCTGGAGGAAACAATGCCACGACCCTTTGTTTGATAAGGCCCTTGCCTGGGGAAAATAGTACCAAGGCCTTTTGTTATTTTGATACAGAGATCTCTAATGTTGACCCGCATGGTCCCTTTACTTGACCTATATGGTCCCTTTGCTTAGACCCATGTGGTTCCTTTGTTGACCTTAATGGTTCCTTCGATATAAGCCTTCGAGCCCTTTGCTTTGCGCTATTGGATGTACTACATATGAGTTATGCTTCATGAACTTTTGATATGACTAGTATTTAATTATGATTTGTTTCGAAACTCATGAGATATGATTTGTATTATGCTAGACATCATTTATTTAACCTCTCTATACTGATATTACTCATTGGGCTTTAGCTCACTGCTTTTCCTTATATATATGTAGGTGAGCAAATGGAACGTCAAGTATAGAGAAGCCTCGGGAGTCCACCCTCTGTAAGCTGCTTTTGGAGTGCCTCCGTGATGGGGCGTACTTGGACTCGAGTGGAGCTAAGCTGTGTCATATTATGTTGTTTTGTTTTTGTTATTTGGAGGCTCGTTTTGAATAGATATCATGTATAAGGAGTTTAACTGGATGTGCTGTATATGAATGTATGTATGAAGTTTTAAGTTTTAAATACTTATGAAACTTGCATGTATGCACCACTCGATAGATGTAGTTGTACTCTATCATTGCTTCTGCAAAGCCCTGATTACTATTATTAATTATTTGTTGTCTTTGAGGCCGAGTAATCTAGGATTACTGGCTGGTCATGGCTTAAACCTCTAGGGGTGGGTTTGGGTCGTGACAGAAACAATCTCAAACTTGATATGAAACCTCCGTTTATCGAATTTTTGGTTGAGTACTTCACATTTTATATAAGCTAGCTATTGAGGTGAGGGAGCCGTCACACATATACTCAACCCCAAAACTTTATATATCTCACTTCTCCTTATGAACTTCATACTTTAGTCCCTAGGCGATGTGGAATTTTGCTTCACACCCTTCCTCACGCATGTAGGCCATGGACATGTACCTTATCCATCCATAGATACTCTGACTTTGATACTATTTACACAGTCTTGGGTAGAACTCAAGACCAAAAGCTAGCTATTGAGGTAAAGGTGCCCTCACGCTTATATACTTACATTACTTTAGCACTGAGGTAATGTGGGACTTCGCTTCACACCCTCACGTACAAAATGCTCACTCGGCAACCCTTGTCACGTGCTGGCCAGGGACACACAACCAAACCATCCCTGAGTACTCCACGTCTGATACCATTTTATACAGTCTTGGGTAGAACTCAACTCCAAAAGCTAGCTATTGTGGTGAAGGTGCCCTCATACTTATATACTACTTATCTACTTGAACATTATTTTAGTAATGAGCTGATTTAGGACTTCGCTTCACATTATGTATGCAAAGACACCCTCGTAAGTCAGAAAGGGAAAAAGAAAGAAAACAAATTGTTGCTTTCATTTGTGGAGTACTACTGCTAGCCAAGATTCAATATTTTAAAATTTTAAAACACAGAAGTGCTTTAGTTAAGTAATTTAAGAGTGAACCCCATGTGGTGAGTCCACATTCGGAGAGACTTAACTAGTAAAAGGAACTTTTGTATTTAAAATCTTATAAACTAAGACAGTAAACTGTAAAAGCAAAAATATGTTTTACAAACTTACTGTAGATGCAGCTTTTTATTGTAAAAGCTATTGGCAAAATGCTCTATAATTTTCTAGCAGTCACATTTTCATTTTTAAAAATGGAACATTTTTGGTTCTCCCCTACCAAAAGCTTGTAAGTGCCAATTATCAAATTCAACAAAATATGGCTTTACATTTGGTTATTTAATTTTTTTTCCTGATCAAGATTATCTGAAAATATACTTAATGTAAGAGAAAAAGAAGAGTTGGTGGTCGTCAAGTGTAGCAAGTATAAGTTAACCGCAGGAACAAATACCTTCTCAAAAAGGTGATGTATGGTCGTATTTGTTGGGATCTGGGATCCCGCCCAAGACCTTATAGAAATCATAACAAGCAGAAAAAACACACCCACACTCAAGGAGACACAATATTTAACGTGGTTCGGCCTCAATGCGTACGTCCACGGGAGAGTAGCCGGTTATCACTATAACAATGGAGATATTACAGAAAGATTACAATAGAGAAGGAGCTCACACTCTCCTCACTCACCCACTCACCCGTCTCCCTCGCTCACACCGAGGGAGACGGTCTCTCCGCCTCACATATCTCACTCTCTGTGGCTTGCTCTGCTCTCACTCTCTCTCAATTCAACTCTCCCCTCAACCTCCATTTATACACTAACAGAATAGGGAGAGCTTGGCTGTCCTTGCACATGGCCAGCTCCTTCTCCACATGTTGCAACTTCTTTCACATGGCCAACACATGAGAAAAGATCACCTTTGTGCATTTGTAGGTTGGCAAGCTTGTGCACTCACATGTGAAGGGAATCACCCCTCACATGGGATGATATCCCACAGTATTGAGATCATCTATCCAGTTGGACTCCGGTTGATTTCCTTCCACATTCCACCAATTTGGTTCTTCAACTTTTACATGCTGTAGTTTTGGGGTATGCACGAATCCAGGAGAGAAAGTCCGCATTTCAGGGCAATTAAGGGCTTCCACATGATATAAAAATGGCATTTCCCAGTCATGAATAGCATGGCAAAACCTCCTGAGTGAAGGTAGATCTCGGAGTTTCAAACGCTTCAATTGAGGGAACAGAGGCACATAAATCCTCTCTCCTCCGTCTTGTTCCTCATTCTCATTTGCAACTACTGCTTCCATAGCTTTGCAATCATCTATTATTAGTTCTTGAAGATGCACAAGACATCTAGCGATGGAAGGAGAGAACATATTTCCCAAGCTGTCACAACATCTAACAATTATTGTTCTTATGTTTTCAAGGGGATCTCCTTGGTGGCCTACATATCCGAATACCTCTTCCACCAAATCACAGTTAGATATTTCCACATCTTCTAGATTGGGTGACATTTTTAATATATGAGCAGGAACAACATTTCTTACTAATCCGTGACAGTCTTCCACCTTGAGGAATCTTAATTTAGAGAATGATTCGGTCGAAATTTCGCTGCACCACAAGTCACTTACATTTGGCAATCCACCAAGTTCCAGATTCTCCAAGCTAGGAAATGCAGCCTACAAACAAAATGATAGTATTAACAAGCAGACTGTTGAAAGTATTATGTTTTGGTGCATTTTAATATTTAATGTTTATTGAATACATGGCTTACTTATGAGAGCAAGTGAAGTGCATGGGGCTTCATTAAAGTGTAATATGAAGAGTTCCCACATTGATTTGGAAAGAGAAAATGAATAGGCTTATTACTACTAGTGTTGTTGGACATGGGTATTACTTGCAGGAATGGACGCGGAGGAAGGAGATGGAGAGGTATGAAAATCAGGGAAACAACTATAGGTATCGCAGAAAATTTAATATACTTTAATGGATTGAAAAAGAAAAACATAAAAAGATACACTATTTTTGTAAATTTCTGTTTTGCTTCTCAATCTTAATTTATGAGCCGGAAATCTTTACTAACCCAATCTAGTGTAAAATACAAACAAATTGGCAAGTTTAATTCCTAGATTTATGTTTGCTGGCCTTTGCTGAGGCATTCTTAACTACACCATTTGCTTCAACTGAAAATTTTTGATCCGGAAAAAGTAAAGCAAAGAGCTTAGTCAAGTAGAGCTGGGTTGATTGGGATTGACAACAAACACTAGTCTACGTGTTTACAAGCTTAATCCTGTTCCAGTCCCCACCCGTTACCATCTCATTTACCTAAAAAACTAGCACTAGAAGATGGTTTTTTGTTAATGAAAACTTTCTGGTCACCAAGATGGAAGCAATAAGAAGCAACACCAAAAACTAGTAGTTCCAAGAGGGCCTACTTGCCAACCTTTTAGAATTGACTTCAGAATTTCTACATCTGAAGTGGCACTGACAATAGGATTAGCATTAATCTTAATTCTGGAAACCCCATAATTTACTTTTAAATTATTTATTGTATCAAAAGTTCCAATGATTGAGTAAACAATTTATACTGCTCTGAATTATGATGCTATTAACATAATGTTGTAACAATGATTAAAATATTTTTTCATAAAATTGCAATTTTTAAAATGCTAAAGATCTCTTAACATTTTCATCTTTAAAAGTTACTTTCTATGATACTATCCTGTGCATTGCAATTCGCATTGTTCAACAGCTATAGAAATATTAACTTTGCATAGAAACTAGATGGGCAGTTGGTTATAAACATAATTTCTTCCTCTTGCTACTTGACAGAAGAAAACTTTAGTTTTTTACCGGGGGATGTTGAATAAGAGCAAATCAACTAAAATCTTGGGACACATAACCAAGAGATAGATGTATCCTAGATGAAGATATTTGTTCTCCTATGAACTTAATGATTTACTTGTTTTTTGAAAAAAAAAATATATGTATATAGATAAAACATATGAACATACCTTTTGGGGAAAAATAGATTGCAAGGTGGCATTGCAGTTTTCATCTGAATGTATTGTACTCTCATTGGGAAAGAAACTCTTGATCTTTGGTAGATTTTTGATGTGCAAGGTCTTCAGTTGAGGGAACTCAATCTTGTCAATTCCTAAGCTGAAACCAGTGAGGCCTTCTAGTTGTCTAAGTGACATATATTCTAAACGGGGGAATTCAATCTTGTTGGTTGCATGCCCATCTTCTTGTCTTCCTTTCCAAATAACTTCTCTAATCATAGCACATTTCGATATACGAAGTTCTTGGAGTTGCACAAGTTCTCTTGCCATTGACAATGAAAAGAGATTTCGCAAGCAATTACAACCATATAACTCAATGAATCTTAGATTATGGAGGGAGACAGTAGTTTGAGCTGGATCCTCCACCAAGAAATGCGTCAAAGAAGGTAAGAGTCGTAGTGTTAATGTTCTTAGTTTTGAAAAGGATGCTGCTGGAAGTTGGCCATGACATATCTGTTTTAACCTACCCAAATCATCGAGTTTTATTGACTCCAATATAGGGAAAATAGCATCAAGGAATCAACTGATAAATCCATTGTATCAGCAAGACACAAAAGCATATCACAAGACTCGATTGATAACTCCTTCAAGTGTTGGGCACCATCTTTAACCAACTCGTGCACCACATTCCATGAGCCCTTCCCTTTTAAACTTAGAAGTTCAGTACATTTCAATAGCTTACTAACCCCACCATCTAAAGCAATAATATTGTCGAGTTTCAATAACAAATGCTTTCGGAATGGGAACATGCTCCACCAGGCATTATCACCTATCTGTATCTTGTACTGCGTCAGATCAGTAAAGAGTGGGCTTCTTGGCAATAGCTTTGCATCTGGTATATAAATTTCTAATATTCTCAAGTCAGACAAGGACTGTAGCTCTCTCAGGCTTGCATTTCTTCTTTCTTCTGTGGTTTCCCCTTTGTCAGTTTCCCAATTGCTAAAGCTGCCTATCATGTACAGTTCCTCTAATTTGACTAGGCCTGATATGACACCTGGCGTTATTCTTTCAAGACAATGACATCCTGTTAGATCTAACAACCTCAAGTTAGCAAGTTTTCCTATTTCTTCTGGTAAAACCTTGAACGAGGAGCCACGAAAGCTGAGGATTTCCAAATTCAATAGTTCACCTATTAGAGTTATGTTATCTAATTTGCAACCTTGAAGACAAATCGTATGCAAGTTACTCACCAACTGCAGTGATGATGGCAGCAATGGAATGGAAATAAGCTCCAAATTTAAAACTCGCAATTCCCTCGTTCCCTCAAAAAAATTGTTTGGTATTTTTATTGAATCATTCATGCATGCTAACAGTAACAAAGTAAGTTTTGGGCATCTTAACCCTTCTGGTAGCTCTGTAATTTTCCCTGATATGATTGAAATGGAAGTGCAAGGCTCACAGGTATGCTTCTCTGGCCACTCTGTCAAACTGTCACCGTGCCGTATCAAAAAAACATTACCACCCTTAGATGCAATTGCAATGGCAACATCACGAATTACATCATGCATTTTGACACACTCATCCTTGTCACTATCTAATAATAAACAGCATGTTTTCAGGATATTAACCAATGCATGTACTTGATCTCTTGCTTCACCCAATCTATCAATATCTTCGAACAGTCGTAGCCCCATTCCAAATCTAACCAAATCTTCAATCTGAATATCGTGATCTTCTGGATATAAACCACATAGCAAAAACAAAGACTTGGCCTCTTCAGGTTCTAACCAATTGTAGCTCATCGTTATAGCCTTATGCACCTTTTCTTCTTCCATTTTTGTTAGACCGATTCTTAATTGTCGAAGTGCATCAGTCCAAGCATGATTCGATTTACATTTTAGTGCCCTTCCAATAGTAACAAGTGCAAGTGGCAAACCTTGGCATTCATTTACCACCTGTTCAGCTATTGGTTGCAAATCAGGAGCTTCAACAGAATCACCAACCACCTTCTTAAAAAAATGACATGCTTCTTCTCCTGTTAAGGTTTTGACTTCAACATTCTTTTGGGTTCCCATTTCTCTGCATACATCCAGGCTTCGCGACGTCAGCACAACTTTACAACCCCTATTCTCACCAGAAAGGAATACCAATTCCCTGAAGATCGATCCGTTCCCAAACATCATCGAGTACAATAAGGATTCTCTTAACAGTTGCTAGTCTCTGACGCAGATGAGTTGCTCTTGCAAGTCGAGTCTCTTCCTCCAATCTCAAGCCCAAGATATCTGCTATTTGGCCTTGAATGTTCATCAAGTTCGGATGCTGGGAGACTACTGCCATGACAATCACATCAAAAAGATGTTCATTATGTGCTCTATTGACAACATCTTTCACTATTGTTGTCTTGCCAATGCCGCCCATTCCACATATTCCAGTCATGTTGATCTCATCATCTCTAAGTGTCTCCATCAGATCTTTCATAATGGAAATTCGTGACTCCAACATAGAACTTCTTGTGGGTGATATATACCCTATCACTGTGGGATCTGCAGGGTAGGATATTTGGGTAAAGTTTCCATTAGATATCAGTTCATCCACATCAACTTGAGTCATCTTCTTTGCTTTTCTGCTCAGCAAGTAATGTGACTTCAAATTCAGACACCCACCCAAACTACCCTTTTTAATTTCCACTTTCTCATCAATGGCTCTCACTGCTTCTGCAGTAAACTCAGTCACATCACTTATCCATTTCTCAACTTCAGGTTCAACAATTTCCCCTTTTCTCTTGGCCTCATCCACCTGTAGTAACAACCCTTCTCTCATAGTTACGAGCTGCTCAACTCGAACTTTCAGATTTTGAATGTTGCTGTTCAAGCCAAACAGATAACCCAATTGTCGCCCAATTGGAGCAAACAGGTAATTTTGAATGTTCCACAAAATCGCAAAACAAATTGCCTTAGCCATGTCACACAATTTTTTTTTTTTTGTTTTTTTGGTGCGTGTTGGTTTTCAGGATCAGAGAAGCAATAACGATAATGGGAAGAAAGCAAATCAAAGGAAAAAGAGAAGAAAAGAAAAGACAGCAACGAAAACAGATCAAGTAATTGTAATGGACATACAAAACAGAATGGTGGTAAAGGCAAGCAAATTTGAAGCCTTGTTTTCAAAAGATGTGCGATAGGACGATCAAAAGGAACGTACTCACCACAGCACTTATACAGAGAGTCTTCTTCAGCAGCAGGCAGGTAGGAACGATATGAGCAGTATAGACCACGAGTCAAACACAAGCCACTTCGATATTAAAAAGAGGAATGCATGGCTACCACAAATGTTTTATCAATATATTTACATGATATGTATTCTACATTCATATTTGATAAAATTGACCCATATATAATATATATTCTACGTCTATATAAAATATTTAATAAAATATTTACGATTCCTAATATTTTTCAATTAAAAACATAATAAGTGCTACATCAGCATTTATTAATTTGGCAGTACTTCTCCCCCATCCGAAATTGAGCGTATTGTTGAGGCTTAATGGGACTATCAACAGTGTCTATATCGGCGAATCCAATCATTTAATGTGTGTAATTTGTTGAATATTTTATTTTTATAAAATGTTATGTTAATTAAATATAAATAATTATTTGATCAAATTAAATTTGTATCAACAGTATTTAAAAATAAATTATTTATACAAATATGATCTAATTAAGTGATTATTTATATCTGATCAACGTAAAATTTTTACATGAATAAAGTATTTAACAAATCCTACATATTGAACAGTTTGGATTGCTGAGATGAACTCAAAATGAGTCCATAATAGATCGAACTTGATCGTTTAGTTGAACTACCTAACTGGAGACAATCCAAGTCCTATTAATTTGTTTCGAACATCATTATCATCATCATTATTATAAGAATAATATAATGGATAAATTAGGTTTATCATAATTTCAAAAACTTCCCCTTAAGATTTTTAAAATAACAAAGACCTCTCTGGTTAGTCTTGTCTCTCTCAAATAATGTGCATAAAAGGTGATCTTTTACTAATTTATCCCTTCACTTAAACTCCCTCATATTCCAAAATCACAACCAACATTTAAACACCACGGGAAACTAATGCCAACACAAACAAAGAAAAATCCAGCCTGCAAACAATGTTGCAGATGACTTGTCACAACAACATTGTCAAAATTGAAAATGAATTCGCTGACGGAAAAGGTCGATCCAATTTAAAGGCCACCCACAATAGATTCTCCAAGCACAATACTAAATTCTCATCACTAGACCATATCATTCTTGTTTTCTGCTTCCAGTATCAACTATTTGTCTTACTTTTCAATGCCCGTGGGGCTTCATTTACGATGGGTGTGAATGGTGGTACATGGTGGTAAGGGTGATGGCTGCAAATGGAGATAGAGTAGTAGGTAGTGGTGGTTCATGCCTGTTGTGGTGGATGATGGGGAGGAAAAAGATGAGAGAAAACTATAGACGACGATGAAGTAATTGAAGATAGAGGAATACAGAGAGAAAAGTGTTTGGTTGTGGGTTGAGTGAAGAAGAATAAATGTTTGTTCTATGTTGTAGGAATCGTTTGTTTGCATTGACTAGTATTTTTTAATATGTTCATTCAATTAAACAAGGGCATAGTACGCTAGATAATGTATAAATAATGTTGAGATTACAAATTAAATAATGTTTAAATATGCTAGATAGAAAATGTTACGCCCCAACATTTTAATTAATCGGAAACATCGCCAAAGCCTATAATGTAGGTCCATTTTTTATTTTTTAAATATCTATTGCCCTTAGGTGATAGAAATATAATAATACATGTTCTCTCTCTCATTGAAAACAATAATGCAATAATACATGCCAAGCTTCTGCTGCGAAGCTACAAATAAATAATTACAAACAACAAGATACATTTTTCATTCCTTTATCTATGATAAAATTATACATAAAAGGAACATGGAATCCATACTCTTTAACTAATGAATTCGAAATTCTCTTCCTTAAAATGAATAAAACAACGAGGGGTGAGTACTAATGCACAGTAGGAATCTCATAATTCTATAACAATAGCTAACACATAGATAGAAATGATCATGCATGCATAGTGATACCATATAGTAAGGTGATTTTGTAAGTATAAAAAATTATACGAAAAGTATATTTTCTTAAAATTTCACTTGAACCTTTAGGAAAACTCTTTGCCATAAATATAGTCTCTCATCATTAGGAAGCCATAAATTCTCTTTAAAAACAAGTACACTTAAGGAAGAACATCGTCTTAAATTTATTAACCCAATTCCAAATTATTCCTCATTTTGTTCCCATTTTAATATTCCACATTTCATTTCCATTTCCAATTATCATACTCCATAATATCAAAATCCAAAGGATTAGAGTTCAAACATAACACAAGAATCACAAACCCTTTTTAATTCAATTTCCCAATTACTTACAAAACAAAGCTCAAAATCTTCCCTTTTGTCACAAGCAATCCATTGAGTTCATCATCACTAGCCCCTAATCCAATTACCCACATGATGCCAATTTCAATCCTTAATCCATTTTCCTTCAGTTGATTTATTCTTCTCAATTCATGAGTCAATTTCATTATCTTTTAACAACCAAACTGAGACTACAACTCAGTGGTTTTCCAATCATACAAAACACACATAAACACTTCAAATTGTCGTTTTACGGATATTTCGTCTGCGGGATCGGCACCCATGTATAAATTTCAGGGCTTTCACCTAGGATACTTCGGCAAACTTAGTTATAATGGAGTCCATCCCCTTTCTCCTCCCAAACAAACATACATATATAACGTATTTAATCACATAATCACACATGGATTACATTCCCTTTCTCCTTCGAAACAATCATACATATATAATGTATTAAAACACACAGTCATATTCAATGATAACCATTTCTCAGACTTATCATAGTATTTATTCTTTTCAAATAGCATACATGTGATCCAAAACATGATTTTCAAAATGAAATAAGTGCACTTAAAACGTAACACAAGAATTTCCAAAATCTCTTTTCAAAACATACAGTTTAAATCCTCAAAATTCATTGCATGCTCCATGATATGCATGATTTATAAATAGTCTGGTTTGTCTAGGCAACATGCAATTTCTACAACAATCATAGCTATCTTCCGCCGATAGCCTAAAACAAATATATCTAAACCGATAAATAAATTCCTTTAAAGATACGCTTTTCCAAAATCTCAAATGAGAGTGATAATACATATCAAGCTCCACCATCATCATTAATAATCATCTGATTTCACATTTACAATGATGATTTTAATTATTTATACAAAATAACAATTTGATCCAATTAGGGCCAAACTCTCTCTTTTTCTTTTTTTTTTTAATATCAACCCAAGTACCAAAATCAACCATTGTAACACAACATGACTTCATATTCAAACCCCATACCCATTTATTTCATTTTCACCAAAAACCCCTCTTTTCATTTCACACCCAAACCCTAGGTTTGTTCAATCTACTCCCAAATCCCACCATTGTTACACAATGGCAAAACAACTAACAAAAAGCCATATGAAGGTGTAGAAAAAGATTCCTACCATTAACAATTCATTTACCTAAATTTAGTTTCATATAATAACATAATTAAAAGATTAACAATAAGAGTTTAATCGCAACTTTTACATAAATTTTCAACCACTTCCAAAATGCAATTAAACTTGTATATGTACAATTTAACACCCCAATTTCATAATACCACTTTCAATTTAAGGAAAACCTGCATCTATCTTCATGATCCAAACTAGGGTTTTAAGAGAAATTAAGCTTTTCACCCAAACACTTTTTATTCCAACTCTTTTATTAATTATACACCCAATTTCATAAGCTCATAATCATAACCCAACAATTTAAACCCCAATATTTCAAACCCTAAACTCCCAAATCTCATGATTTACCACAACATGCTCAAAAATATAAATTTTGCGTTTATATAAAGAGAATACCACAAATCTATCTATAAATGAGAGTATTGAAGAAGAACTAGAAATTCCTACCTCAAGGAAAAAGCAAAGAAGCTAGATCAAGAGCAGCCTTTCAAAAATCCAAAATCCAATCAGTTGAAAATGTTGAGCTTCAAACGGGTCAAAAATCTAGGGTTTTTCGGACTTAGGATGAGAGGAAGGAAGAGAGAAAAGAAAAGTGGAGAGAATGATCTAGAAAATCACTTTTTAAGTTACTGAATTTGCGCAGTCCGCTTGAGCGTCGCTTTTCCCGCTCGAGCGTACCTGCTTCCAGCACAGCTACTAAAACTTCAAATGGGTATAACTCTCCCATCCGGATTTCGTTTTAGGTCGTTCTTGTGTCCAAATCGAAGCCCCAAAAACAAGCTTTCCAATGGTTCTAGCCTCACACCCAAATTCAAAGTGTGGAAAAATAAAAGGGTAAAAGAGTGACGGCTATTTGTAGAAAAATTATCTGAATTAAAGTTTTTGATCCAATCTTACTTTACCATCATGTTACCACTTCGATCAATGTCCCAAAATAAAACAAGAAGACTCAAAATACATTATAAAAATGTCAAGGGCAATCTCACTTTTTACGCTCGAGCGGCACTTTCTGCGCTTGAGCGGCTCGCCTGCAAACACGCGAGATACTGGGAGTAACAATTCTACGCTCAAACGCCACTTCTTGCGCTCGAGCGGTCACCTGGACAGACTGTCACAATGTTTGAGGAGAAACTAAATATACAAAGCATGAACATGACCCGCCATGAATGTCTATGTAAAGTTTTACTTATGAAATATGAAGGGGCAAAAGATAAATGGAGCATATCCAAGCCTTGGGTCGGTCCAAACCATTAAGCCAAAATCCGAATGGCCATCCGATATGGACTAGACAACCACGTGGGCTAAGCCATTGAGCCCATCTCCATATGAATCATATACCCAAGTCCTCAAGCACTTAGGCCAAGCACAATAAAATAAGGCCAACCCAAGCACGGTACTGAGTCAGGCTGAACTGGTGCCCATCAGTAGAACCGAAGTGGGCCGAACCCACATAAGTCATCCAAATGGGCAAACCCATATCTACAAGCAATCTCATAAAAGGTTGAGTTGAGGAACTCTTGAGCAGGCATGAAAGCTATGAATGCAAGCATATGCAAAATGCCACCTCAGCTGGTCCCCTTTTCCTAGAATCACGGAATTAGTTGATACAAAGAATGTGATCTATTATATGCATAGTTCTACTGAGCATGTGCCTCCATGGCTAACCACCTTGAGCAATGATAAAGAGAGCCTTGAGGCACCCAAATTCCATGGACTTCACCTTAGAGAACAAGTCTTAAGCAACACCCTTTTCACATTGAAGGTATTCTATTCGATCTCAACTAATTGGAACTTATTTTATCTAATCACACATAGAACTCACTTTTTCTTCCTCTCTTTACACCTAGAGAGAACTTTATCTTCTCTAATCACTCATTCTCACACCAAAAAGGTTTTCTAGCCAACCTCGGTCAGGCAGCTCTAACAGTGTCTCTGTTTTGCAGGCTCTTGGTTCCTAGATAGTCCAATTTAGTCACCAAGCTCCGATCCATTTCATCTAGTGTGCGATTTGGTATGCAAAAAATAGAAATTCATCTTAGAGTACATATTCAATCTAACCAAATTTTCAATTTGAATATCACAATCTTCTGGATATAAACAATATAGCAAAAACGAAGACTTGGCCTCCTTATTCTGTAAATAATTGTAACTTAGCACTAGAGCTTGATACACCATTACATTCACTCCTAATGTGCTTTTTTCACTAGGCATTCTTAATTGTCAAAGTGTATTAGTCCAAACATAATTCGATTTATGTTTTAGTGCCCTTCTAATAGTAACAAGTGCAAGTGGTAAACCACCGCATTCATTTACCATCTGTTCAGCTATTGGTTGCATGTCAGGAGTTCAACAACAAAATCACCAACCATCTCCTTAAAAAGATTCCATGCTTCTTCCCCTACTAAGATTTGACTTCAATATTCTTTTGGGATCCCATTCCTATGCATACCTCCAGGCTTCGTGACGTCAACACAACTTTGCAACCCTTATTTTCACCCCAGAAAAGAATCCCAATGGCCTGAAGATCGAGCCATTCCCAAACATCATCGAGTACAAGAAGGATTCTCTTACCATTTGCTAGTCTCTGACGCATACGAGTTGCTCTTCCAAATAAAGTTTCTTTCCCCAATCTAAATCCCAAGTTGTCTGCTATTTGACCTTGAATGTTCCACAAGTCTGGACTATGAGAGACTACTGCCATGACAATCTCATCAAATAAATTTTCATTTTTTGCTCTAAAGGCTACATCTTTCACCATTGTTGTCTTGCCAATATCGCCTATTCCACATATTACAATGATGTTGATCTCATCATCTTTAACGCTGTGTTTGATTTGGGGATTTGAAAAGGGATTTGGAAAGAGAAAGGAAAAAGGTAAGTGAAATATGAATAAAATATCTTTACATTTCACATAGTTTCACACACCTATTTCCTTTTATTTTCTAAGTTCCTTCCCAAATTTTTCAACCAAGCACAACATAAGTGTCTCCATTACCTCTTTCATAGTGAATGTTCGTGAATTGAACTCAAAAGTGCCCGTGGGTACTATAGACACTATCCTCACGAGAGGTGCAGGGTGTGATACTTTGAAAAGTTCTCGTAGATAGAAGCTCATCCACAACAACTTGAATCCCTCGTGCTTTCTTCCACAGCAACAACTGTCTATTCCGATTCTCCCAATAATCATTTTCAACTTCCTCTCTCTCATCCATGATTCTCTTTGTCTCTGCTTTCACAGTAATCACAGTCACACGATTTATCCACATCCTAAGAGCAATGTTAATCATTTCCCCATTTTTCTTGGCCTCGTCCACTTGTAGTTGCAAATCATCTCTCACAGTTATGAGCGTCTCCAATTGATTTTTCAGACGTTCAAGGTCCCTTTCCATGACTGCCATATGACCAAAAGATACCCCACGTGATCTGGACTCAGCCCTTTCACACAAATTTTTGTAAGGTGTTGGAGATAGAAGCTCATCCACAACAACTTGAATCCCGTTTGCTTTCTTCCACAGCAAGAACTGTCCCTTCCAATCCCATAACCGTCCCAAAAAACCATTTTTGAATTCCTCTTTCTCATCGATAGATCTCCCTATTTCTGCAATAACCTCAGGCGCACGATTTACCCACGTCTTAATAGCACTTTTAATAATTTCCCCATTTTTCTCGGCCTCATCCACTTGTAGTTGCAAATCATCTCTCACAGTTACAAGCGTCTCCACTTGATCTTTCAGATGTTCAATGACCCTCTTCACTCTTATCATATAAATCCCCAAAGCTGCGTCAATTAAATAAACCATTGCTTCTATAGTTCTCAACAAAATCTCAAGGGCTATGGACTCAGCCATTTCACACAAATTTTTTTTTCTTTCCTTTCCATTTTCTTTTCAGATCACAGAAGCAATAAAAGATGATGGGCTAACGATGAGCAAGCTGGCAACAAATCTAACTTTTCTAGAATGTTGACAAAAAAAACACATAGCAAATCGGAGGGGAAAAAAATATTTATGTAAAGGAAAAAACAGACAAAAACGAGACAGTAACAAACAGAGCAGATAATTGTACCGGAGGATATCAAACAGAATGGTAGTGTAAAGCCAGCAGCAACTTTTTTGGGGTGAATATCCAGCAGCAGCAACTTAAAGCCTTCTTAGGACTTGACAAACAAGAAACAGCAAAATATGTTAAAGGAGATTCTAGGAAAATACAGTTAACAGAAACAATGGGAAAATACACATCAAAAGGACAATGTACAAACTAAAAATTGAAAACCAAGTTTGGTATAATATTAGACCCAAAGCAAAATCAAAAGCAATCAAAGAAAGCTTTTGCTTTGGAATAGTAACTGAAACAGATTTTATGAGCACTAGATTTTGGCTTCAAAGAGAAGGAAGAGGGGGTATCAAAAAGGGGATTGAGCCAAATACTTGCCTCTTATTAATTTACTTAAGAATGGAACCAAATTCCCTTAAATTAAAAGGATGAGTTTCGATTTTAGTTAAGTGGTGCACCCAAACACAAGCAAGAAACAAGCCATTTGATTCCAAAACCAACCATCAGTACCTTGATTAGATTAACGCAACAAATATCACACAATGGAATAAATTTTAAACAAAAGTTGGACACGATAAGTTGATCATGGTAGTGTGAAATTGAAAGGGTGCCTTTCTTTTGCAAGAGCTAGAGAGAAAAACAGGGGCAGACTCAAAAAATTATTTGACAGGGTCAGTCTAAGCTTATCAAGATAAATTTTTAAACCAACAATATGGTTTGCATGGTGTTAATATACTAAGAAAATACACCCTACTTACCAAAATGTTATAATAAATAAATGAAGCCTAAAAACATGTTCAATTTACAACAATAAAATTAATATGCCAAAATAACAAATTGGAGAATATAAAATTTAAAATAAAATAAAAACAAAACTTGAACTTAATGAAACAAGCATAAGTATCATTGTCAAACAAAAGCCAATATATATTGTTGTTAATTTGACTTGCTCATGCGATATTTAAAATGAATATAAAGCCAGTCAATAATCACTGGTGCTAGAATGTTGGCAGAGAGAGAGAGAGAGAGAGAGAGAGAGAGAGAGAAAGAGAATAGGGTATTCTATCTACCTACTCTATGGTATTGCCACTGGTAGTCTTGGCTTGATTGCGTCATACCTAACGGGAAATTAAAAAAAAAAAACCCTCTTCTTGCTATTTGTATAAAATTGGAAGAAAATGCTTTGTTACTTTGATGTTGTTTATGAATGACAAGTAATAAATATGCCATTTAAGTTTAAAAACCAAATATTCAAGACTTTCACCCATAACGATATCATTTTAGGATGGCTTAGTTTAAGGTCGTGAGCAATTTTTTGGAAAAAATTTAGCCTCACTATTAATGGATGTGTTGCGGGATAGACTTCTATACAATATCTGAAAATTCGGGTCCAGCCATCAGATATACTACCATAAATTTTTCACCATGAAAGAAGCCTACTCAAAAGGAAATCTTCAAACCCAAGGGAGATGCGCTGATGTTGAATGTAGAACGGAATTGAGGAAAGAGAGAGAAGAACACTGACCACAATGTGCTTCTATAAAGGATTATATTGGGCACGACACCCAATGTGCTTCTATAGCAGTGGGGAATCTCGTGAAAAATGCTAGCTTTGGTAAATTGAAGATTGGTACGGTGAGAGGAGTACCAGCAGCAAGGATAGCTGTTTACAAATTGGTTCTTGGAAGTCTACGCTATGGTTTTATGACCTGGGCATGCACCGCTGCTTTTGAAGATAAAGTAGATATCTTAAATCTATCCATCGGCCATCCAAATGATGATGAAAAGATTAAGATGAGAGAATCCAATTATTTTGACGAAATTGAACTTGGAACTTACGAGGCTATGTTGCATGATATATTATCCTATACTGCTACTAGAAATGATAGTGCTACAACCAAGAAAGTTACCCCATGGACATTGTGTGTTGCGGCCCGTAATTCACCAAAAACATTTACCACCAAAATATTAGTCGGCCATAGCAACTTTCTAAAAACGGTAATCCTTTTATCCCTTTTTCTTTTATTATAATTTATCTGTTTACAAAGACGCTTGACTTTGCACATCAAAACATCAAATATAAACTTTGTATACTTAAAATATGTGGAATTTATAAAAAAAAAATGCTATGGTACACACCATGCAAGTTATGCCATTTGTGAGTTTGATTATCACAAATGGCTAACTCAATATTAATAAATTGATAACATCACATGAGATATAACCAAACAACTCTTAAATCATAACAAAAATAATGTCATAACCAAAATCACAATGTGTTATAAATAATAACACAATATGTCAAAACCAAAGACAGAAAAGTTATAGCCAAAGGTACATATGATGCACAACTCAAAAGAATTTTCCGAATTAGTTTGGATATTTGATTAGTGGATAAGATTTTCAATCATGTTTAAAAAAAAAATTAAACCTTCAAAACAAATAAATACTTACTGGTAATTGAACATTCCAAAAGCTGTCTCATCCCTGGAATTCTTAATTTGAGAAAATTCTATTAATTCCGCAGAAACACACGCTTGTTATATTAGTTTTTTTTTTCTTCATTTAATTTTGGATTTTGCATGCAAGGATTCTTAATTAATCGATTTAGGGATATTGAATCTTGCAGCTTAATCTATTCTAAAAATGCAAGAGCCTCAATAGGCGCTACTGGTACTGGAAGTTCTATGCCCTGGTAATAAAATAAAATAAAACATACTATTTTTATTTGTCGAATGGCATGAAATCATGATAAAATGGTTATTTTTTGCATAATTTGAATTCAGATCAAGCAATGAGCTAGAACCCAAAAAAGTGAAAAGAAAAATAGTTGTCTATGCAATCAACACAAATGGAATGTCTTTCTTGAAAGTTGGTGCTGCAGGTGTTATCATTTTAGGCAAGGGGAACGATACACCTCGATCTCTAATCTTTCCACTTGCGACGGCATGTGTGACTAAAGAAGATGGTTAATTTATTATCAGTTACATGACCTATACCTGGCTGTGTGCTAGATTCATGACTTAGTTACTCTATTTTTTTCTTAAAATATATATATATATAATCTTAATGATTTTTATGTTAATTTTATAGCAGTAACCCAATAGCTAAAATTTGCACAAGTGAAGAAGACCAAATCCTGACTATCCAGCTATAGCTAAGTTTTCTGCAAAAGGGGCAAGCCCACTGTCAAAACATATTAGTAAGGTACATTCTACTAAACTCAATATATTATTGTTGTTTCTTATAATTTTTATCTTAAAAAATGACAATCTGTTGGATAAATAAAATACTAAATATCTTCCAATTTTCAGCCTGGTATATGTGCAATAGGGGTTGATGTTGTTTGTGCAAATTTAGAAGAGGTGAAAGGTGCTAAAGAGAATTTTCCATTTACCATGGCCTCTGGAACATCTATGGCAATTGCCGTTGTCTCCGGTGATGTTGCATTTGTTAAATCATTTCACCCAACTTGGTTATCAAGCGCTATAAAATCGGCACTCATGACAACTGGTAAATTTTACATGATTTTTTTGTATGGTTATTTAAATCTTTTGAAATTAAAGGCAATATATATATATATATAATATGTAGCGATCCAAATGAATGTGAAGGACACATGTGATATCAATAGAATTGGCTCGGGACTTGTGAATCCTACCAAAGCAATTCATCCAGGCCTTGTTAATGAAATAAAGACAGAAT